TGTTCTCATCCTTGCTTTTGACCACCATATCATCAATGTAAGCCTCCATTGTTCTGCCTAACAATGGTTCAAACATCTTGTAACCGATTTTCTTCTCGAGGAAGACCCAGAACCGGACCCAACTTTGCCGGAGATAAGACTTGTCCCACTATCAGCTGAAGAAGAAATGGCAAAGAAAAGCAGAGTTAGGGCCCTCCTGACCGCAACAACCAGGGCCGAAGTAACACCAACTACTGAGGTGCAGCCCGCCGTCGTGGCCCTTCCTTCTCAACGGCCTTCTTCATCTCGCCCTTCAAAACGCGCCCGATCTACGTCAGCCGAACAGCAACTTGTTGATGAAGTCGAATCCGTCCCCCAAAGTCCTCATCCTGCCTCTCAACCAGAGCAAACTGACCGAGCTCGATCTCCGAAGTGGGCTCCTCCTTTGATCTTCAATGACCGAAACATCAAAGCCACTGATTCGGTCGTTGCTGAAAAAGACCACCAACTGGCCTTTAATCTGGCCAAAAGTGTGTGCCTCCCCAAGGACATGGAGCACCACTTGAAGCAACTGAACACCGAAATGAAATCAATTCGGTCTGCTTCCAAGTCCATGATCTTGGTAAGTAGCTCTGTATGTTTTTTCTGTCTAAATTTTTCCAACTTTTACTTCGGCTGAGAAGAAATCTTTGTTTTGCCAGGCCTTGCAAAAGAACAATATCACTTATAGGAAAGTCCAAGAACTCCGCAAGACCACAAGGCAAGCGATGGCGGAAGCCGAAGCAAAGGCGGCCGAACTAGTGGAAGCCGAAAGGAGAATGACCGAGCTTCAAGTGGAGAACGGCCGACTTGCCGATCTGGTTAACTCGGCTGAAGCGGAGAAGCAAAAAGCGGCCATTGTAATGAAAGACAAATATCTGCGTGAGCTGCTGAAGCTTGAGAAGAGAAAAGACGCCGAAATAAACGAACTGAAAAAGAACATGGAGGCGGCCGAAAAGGAGGGGTACAAGCGAGGTTTCAAGGAGGCAGAGGAGGCCTATGTCAAACAATGCGACGCCGCCAAGGAGCTTTTCTTCAAGTGCGGCTGGAGGGCGGCTGTGGAGAAGCTCGGTCATGATGAACAGACCGAGGTCTTCGACCCTCCAGCGTACTTTATACCGAAGTCCCTTGCGGCGTATGCAGACGCCTTGTAACAAGAGTTCCTGGAGGACTCAGACACTGACGACTCCTCTGCTCCTGAAGACACTCCGGTTGTTGGTGCCGACCCATCACTTCGGTTGGAACCCATGGTAGAGGACCTTCCTAACGAGCAGCCGAATGAAGACGTGATTCCAACCGAAGGAATTATGGCAGCCGAGAGTGAGCTTCCTCTTGAGACCGGTCTTCGAGTTAGTGATGATGCGGCTTTTGATGCTGAAATTGATGAACTTTTCTCTTAATTTTTTCTTCTCTTTGTAACCGAAGTATGCCCATGTAATAACTTCTCTTGTAATGAAAATTTTACGCAACTTTTATTCCGGTTGTGGTATGTATGCCTATTTTGTAATGTCTTCTATTACTCCGACTGTTATTCCAATTTTGGCTTTTTAATCTATGCTTACCAGCCAACCACTCCTTAGCCGATATAATCACTTCGGCTGAGGAGTACAAACTGTTTGGTTTATTCCAGCCAACCACTCTCCAGCCATGCACTTACTTTGGCTGAAGAGTAACAAGAGTTGGTTTATTCCAGCCAACCACTCTCCAGCCATGCACTTACTTTGGCTATGTATGCCTGTATTTTGTAATGTCTTCTATTACTCCAACTGTTATTTCGGTTTTGGCTTTCTAAACTATGCTTGCTAACCAACCACTCCTTAGCCGATACGCTTCTTCGGCTGAGGAGTACAAAGTGTTTGGTTTATTCCAGCCAACCACTCTTCAGTCGTACACTTACTTCGGCTGAAGAGTAACAGGAGTTGGTTTATTCCAGCCAACCACTCTTCAACCGTACACTTACTTCGGCTGAAGAGTAACAGGAGTTGGTTTATTCCAGCCAACCACTCTTCAGTCGTACACTTACTTCGGCTGAAGAGTAACAGGAGTTGGTTTATTCCAGCCAACCTCTGAGTTAGTTTTTCCAGCTAACTTGAAATAGAATGCTTGCAATAAACTTAGTCTCTAAAGCTAACTTTTACAAAGAATAATTTAACCACTCTTCAGCCACACACTTACTTCGGCTGAAAAGTATCAAGAGTTGGTTTATTCCAGCCAACCACTCTTCAGCCATACACTTACTTCGGCTGAAGAGTAACAAGAGTTGGTTTATTCCAGCCAACCACTTCTTCAGCCATACACTTACTTCGGCTGAAGAGTATCAAGAGTTGGTTTATTCCAGCCAACCACTCTTCAGCCATACACTTACTTCGGCTGAAGAGTAACAAGAGTTGGTTAATTCCAGCCAACCACTCTTCAGCCTTGCACTTACTTCGGCTGAAGAGTAACAGGAGTTGATTTATTCCAGCCAACCATCGAAGTTAGTTTTTCCAGCTAACTTATAGTATTTGGTTATTCCGACCAAATGTCCTGTAGCCTGGATCCTTATCCTGGGCTTAGGAAGGGTGTTGGTTTATTCCAGCCAACCTCTAAGTTAGTTTTTCCGGCTAACTTAGAGTAAAAAATGCTTGCAATGTGCCTAATTTTTACTAAAGCTAACTTTTACAAGGAACAACTTGTGCTAAAAAGAATTTCTCATTTTATTGAAGGAAGAGAGAATTACATATGTTTGAAAAAGAAAAGCTAAAAGTAAAATAACTTGAGATTGGCCGTATTCCATGGCCTAGGGATTGCCTTGCCATCCTTGTCTTCTAGGTGGTATGCCCCTTTGCCGGCTAACCCAACCACCTTATAAGGACCTTCCCAATTTGGGCCTAACTTGCCATCTCCTGGGATCAAGGTGTTTCCCATTACTTTGCGTAATACCCAATCGCCAATTTTGAATTGTCTTGGATGAACCTTTTTGCTGTATTTTCTGATTAACTCTCGTTGGTATGAGGCGATGTGGACCAACGCTCTTTCTCTTCTTTCTTCTGCAAGGTTGAGTTCTAAGGCTATGGCTTCTCCATTTAAGTCTGGATCAAAATTTTCGCTTCGAATTGTGGGGAGGCCAACTTCCAGTGGGATTACTGCTTCCATTCCGTAGGCTAAGGAGAATGGTGTTTCTTCTGTTGATCGCCGAGGTGTGGTGCGGTAAGCCCATAAATGAAGGAGAAGGCGAAGGAGGCTGAGAAACAAGGTTTCAAGAGGGCTGAGGATGCTTACGCCCAACAATGTGACGCTGCAAAGGAGCTGTTCTTCAAATGCGGCTGGAGGGCGGCAGTGGAGAAGCTCGGTCAAGATCAACAGACCGAGGTCTTCAACCCTCCAGATTATTTTATACCGAAGTCCCT